TAACAAAATTTCCATTTTTATAGATAATTCTACAAGGGAAGCAAATTATGTTTGAATCATGCAGATTAATTGAACACTTATTTGAGTGGGTTAATCCATGTTTTCATAGATTAAAATAATGTAAAATAGAAATATTCAATCAATTTAAAATTATTTTAAGCTAATAATCTTTTTTAGATAACATAATTATCTATACTTTATGTCCATTAGAATTCTTTTCTTATCTAGCAGGATTTTGAAATAAAGAATGGAGTTGTCATCAACAAAAATGGGCATACAGTAACAAAAAAATTTAAGACTCAAACACTGACTAGAGCATGTGAATTTGGCACAGTTAAAAATGCAATTCAATGGTGTTACAAAATTTTACAGCAGAGCAATAAATAGGTTAAATGATGAAAAGTTACTGAAAATGATTTGGACATATTACAATTTCAATTACAAAAGAATAATGTAGACACTTGTTTGCCAAACTGTCATTCTATATACTATAATCTCACATAATGAGTGCTCAAAATTATCTAGATTAATTTTTGAAGCAGCTTTAAAATAATTGGTTCCAAAATAAAGATATTAAATGCCAGCATTTAAGTGACAATAATGCTTATGGCTAAGATAGAAATGAGATTCTTAACAGAAATGCTGACGCAGCCGTAACTTTAGGCACTTGAGTGTGTGGCTATAATTCTTTTTTCAAATCTTACCCAGCAAAGCTTCAGGTAAAGAAGTCTACAGAATATGTAAACAGTAAGAAACAGTCCTAGAGCTTTAACAAAACCACAAACCTGTGACACATTTATATTCCTCCTTCATTACTAGTACTAAATTACCAAATAACTCAAAATGTATTGATTAGCTCTTTAATAGATAAAAGGTGGGTAACATGTTAGAAAAAAATCAACATTTCTTAATTCATTCGATTTGCAAAAGGTATACCTTTTAAGCTAACAGCGTTAAACCTTTAAAAACCTTTTCCAAAAATGTCTTCTGCTTTATTCTACATTTTGATCACTAATCAAAAATAATAAAATTAAGAAAAAATAGAGAATCACAACTAATAAGATTTTATTTTCCATTTATAAGTGTTAAGCTATAAAATAAGTTCCCCAAAGAAATTGGTTTCTTGTGTGGAAGGCATCTGAAATTAAACCAAATAACACAATCTCTGAATAGGCCAAGGGTACACAACTTTTACTGGGAGATAAGTGGTTCAAATAGAGGACATAATTGTCTAATTTTAATTCACACTTTTAAAAAAAGCGCAAGATAATAAAGCATCTAATGAGTTCATTTTCAAGCCCAGCCAAATCAAGTCAGATCTAAGAAATGGAGGATATTTTTCTCTGTATTGTCATCCAGCCAACAGACAATTATTGATCTTAGCCTGGGAAATACTGTTCTGATGTTTATTGATCACACTGTATAAAGAAAATTGTGATTTTTGAATGAAAGATAGCTATGAGCAATTTTTTTAATTCAGAATTTGTAGTGAATATATATATATGATGAATACTACAGTCAACATTATTAAAATTAGTTTAAGATAAGCAGAAAGACCATTATAAATCCATGCGAGAAAACAGTACATAATGAGAATGAACTTAAAACTGTAAAACTGAAAAAAAAACAAAAGAAAATTGTACTTGCAACACAGTACTCTAATTGCATAGGATTCTAAAAGTTTGCTAACTAGCATTGCTTTTAATTTATATTTTACTCTATAAATTGATTACGTCACAGAAAGAAAACAGCCAAAATGCATAATACACCTGTTTTAAAAATTATCCCTATTTTAATCTTAAACTCAAGCTAATCTTCCATTTAAATTAAAATCTAGTCATTTTATAATTTGCATTTTACTTTAAGGCAAAAATCACACTTACTACAGAAATAAATTATCATGCAAATTTGTACAAAGTTGTCAGCTGGCAAAGTCTTTACCTTGCATGATGTCATGAAATAATACTAATTATATTATATTAATTTCAATTGCTAATTTTAACTTCATTGGACTGTAGAAAAGACATAATAATACCATTAATGCATTTTATAGAAAAATACATTGCCAAGTAAGAATTTCAAGGAACATAATACATTTGAATTGATATTAAATTGTGCAAATGCCCACTATTTCTATTAAATAGATGTAGTGACCTGTCATAAACACTGAACGAGGCCAGAAAAACTGGGCAAGGATAAATAACAAACACACCTACCTCATTAGCTACTCAAAAGATTTACTAACCAACTTACTGTTTTCTTGTAACATGTTATAGTTATATCTTGTAACATGTTATATTTATGTGTCAGTGTTTTGTAGTTAATGACTTATTTTCACCCAACTCACTTTCAGATAAAGTAGGGAATTTTCCCAAAATTTAAAATTTCATTATTTTCAAATAAATTTACTATATATTAGCAATATTGATAATTTTTACAGTACAGTGTTCAGGCAGGAAGTTTAGATGGAAAAATAAAATCCAATTTTGACAACATCCAAACTTGTCCCTTTCAACCTCCCAGGCCCTTACCAAGGGCAAATGTGTGAAGTACATCCTAGAAAATTAAAACTGGTTTCTAGAAAGTGTTTCATTAATTTGCAGTTGAATTTTGACAAAGAAGTTGAATATCGGATTTTTTTTGGGGGGAGGGGGGTACCAAATGACTTTATTTGAAGATTTTTAAAAAGTAAAATGAAACTGAACCATCCGCAGGGCCAAATTATGATCTACCCATTTTGATGCCTGCTGGAGTAGGGTGCCCAGTGAGATTGGGGGATGGTTGTACAGCTTATCTACTCTGCTGTCCTTTCACACCCTAACCCCCTGTGTTATAAGGCTGGAAACAGCTCTAGGAATGTGGAGAATGTAAACAGCCTTTCATTGTCCAAAAGGATGGCAGTGAGAGGAATGTGTGCTTATCACACCGCCACAGCTCTCCACCTCACTTACAGTGATAAAGTGCTCCAGGGAAAAAACAACAACAAAAACATTACAACCCAAGTGCAATCCAAAAATGGATTAGAATTTGACATACACTTCCTTAAATACTAATCAATCAATCCATGCTGGCTGTAATATTACAATCTAGCTCTTAAAGAGGGTATACAATCCTTTCAAGATGGATTTCTCATTCCTATCGAGTATATAGTGTGAAAAAAATTACCATTTTCAACAAGCAGCCGATAGAACTTTTTCCTAATATGTGCCTAAATATATAGCCTCTATAAGTGATTAACATAATGCTTATGGAACTGATACACAGCTCATGATAACTAAGCACAATATTAAACGAACTAACCAAAAGATATTGATATTTTGAAGATACCGCTCCCTCTCAACCCTTGTACCTGATTTCACCGGCGTTATCTCCCCCTCCCAAGCAGAATTTTGTGCTTACACATGACATACAAATGCTGCTTAATCAGATCACCCTTTCTTGGAAACCAGATTAGACATTAAAAAAATCAAGTAATAGTAAAGATTATGTGCCTACATATCTTTTGCACGCATAATGTCTTAAATGCAAATCTTATTTTTAAATTGGAGTATTGTATACAGACAATGTGTGCTGGCTAATTCAAGGACATGTGAGAACACTGCATTTTCTTCTTGGTACAGTGAAGAATTTATGAATGTGCAGGTGATGCTTACCTCTACTTGTAGCAAGAATGGACTGGACCGTGGGTGCCCTCTCCCCTTCACTCAGACCCTTCAGAGTCCCTTCCATCATCAAAATTTGGGAATTACTTTTCTCTACAATATCATTTACATAAGAGTGACTTTCATAAGTTTCTTTACTCCCACACACAGACACATTAAAAACAATAGGGGCAAGACAGAAACGTGGAAGGAAGGAAGGAAGGAAGGAAGGAAGGAAGGAAGGAAGGAAGGAAGGAAGGAAGGAAGGAAGGAAGGAAGGAGACAGTGATTGCCATACTAAATTGCTTAGGTTTTAAGTCTTGTTTTAGTAGTCTAGAGAGAATTGGGTAACGTTAAGTAGAGGGCCACAGAAACCCTCGCATCTGCAGAAAATTCTCTGATCGGCGCCATATCAATAGGTGCCAAGAGAGAGCAGTCAGATCCAGCAGTCAGATCATCACACAGCCGACTGAGCTAAGTAGTCCCTTTCTACAATTTTACTTTGGAAGTTACTTCTTGATGGACTTCCTTCGGCCTCCCTCAAACATTAGCCAGCTAAGCATGCAGTATAGCAGTGCACATCAGAAGGCGGAGAGCACGGCTCCTCGCGGGAAAAGCGAACGCAGAAAGAAGAGTTAGTTCCAAAGGCGAACAAGGCCCTCCTATTTCAGGTCTCTGGCGAATTCCCCAGCATCATCTAATCCCCTTCTCAATCCTCAGCCTCGGGACAGTCCGGACCCGGCGGCCGGGGCAGTCTTAGGGGGAACCGACTGCTTAGAGATGCCAGGAAGGATCTCCTTGAGGAGCAGACCCGGGAGCGAAAGTTACACCCCGCGTCCCCGCCATCCGAAAACCCCCTCCCCGTACCCCTCGACACTGGCAGAGCGAACAGAAACCCAGTCGCCCCCTTAAGATGGGCCTTTGCCTAAGTTTTCTCCAAGCAGGGATGCCCCTCTTTAGCCCTGGGAGCAAGAAAGCGACGGTGCCGCTCTGGGGCAGAAGTGCTGACATCTGGGCGAAACAGCAAGTGAAAAGAAAAGAAAAAAAAAAGAAAGAAAGGAAAAGAAAAGAAAGCAAGCCACCCCAAGTCCGGGCTGGCGCCTTGGTTTCGGGGCTCCCCTCTCTTCCCGCGACCCCCTTTTTCCCGTGCCCAATCGCTCCGAATAAACGCTGCTTTTCCCCGCCGGGTACCACTCCCGCAGCACTTTTCTGCGACGTGCGCTCGCCCCCTCGGACCCGGATCCCGGCTACACTCCTCACCTGTCCGAAGGGGTCCTTGACTCCGAGCCCCCCCAGCCCAAACCACCCAACTGCCCGCGCCCCGCCACCGTAGCAGCCCCGGGCCGGCCCCTCACTCACCAGCTGCAGCAAGCCGGGGACCACGACGAGGGGCAGCGGCCGCAGGCGCATGGTGCCGGCTGCCACGGGGCTCACGAGCTGCGCGCCCTCGCCTGCCTCTCGCGCATCTCCACTTCGGGGGGCAGGACGGAGGACGCCGGGGACACCGTGCGCGCCGCTGCCCTCCCGGAATCCGAGCGCGGCGCGGGGAGGGCGGGCGGGAGGTGCCGGGGCGGCCCCCGCGCGCCCCTCCTCGGAGGGGGCCGGGAAGGAACGCGCGGCGGGACCCCGGGCGCCCGGACCCGCAGCGACTCGCTCCAGCGCCCGCTCGGAGTCCCGGGCTCCGGCTGCGACGCCAGCCGCTGGGGGACCGGGTTCCAGGAGCGCAGCCGCTGGAGCGTTCTTGACCCCCCGCGCAGTGCAGCTGCGGGTCGGAGCCCGGAGAGGTCCGGTGGCTCCGCGGTCCCCGCCCCACAAAGAGCGAGCCCCGGCTGGTTCGGATGGGTGGGCTGGGCTGGGCGCCCCGCACCCCGACCTGCTTCCGTGCGGCTGGGGAGGTGGGGGATCCGGGGAGCGTGTCTCCTCTGCAGGAGTGCGGGAGGGTGTGCGCTGGGGGAGCCCCCAGTGTGGATGCAGGGGAAGGGTCCTGAGATTGAGGGTAGGGGGTGTGGGGAAAGGAAAGGCTGGGGTGCGAGGTGCGAGAGGACCCCCAGATGTCTGCCCGGGAGCTCCGGATTCCGCGGCAGCAAGAAGCGCAAAGTGCGGCTGGCGCGACGGGGAGGCTTATGAGGAGAGGGAAAGTGGTGGGCGCTGAGAGGGATCTCCTGGAGGGGTGAAAGCTGGGCTGTGGGGAACCCAGCGAGCTTGGGCGGTCCTGGCCTCCTCGGGTGGGAGGATGGAATAGACTCCTGGGGTGTCGGCGCCCCGGAGGCCCACAGGGATGAACTTGCGGGGAGCTTCCACCCGGCCGCGAGAGACAGAGTAATAAAGATTGGAGAATCCCGCCAGAGCCTCCCAATGGGGAAATCAGGAGAAGAGGTTCCTTCTTCTCTGCTGAGGCTGCAAGGCTGCCGTCCACAAACCTCGCCCTCATGCTAGCAACTCCCTTGGAGAGATCCTTCACTTTTGGCTGTCTCTCTGGGGAACACTCAGAGTGGACAAACAGAAGGGCAATTGGGCAGTCAACTCTTGCAATATTTAGGCTGGATGAGAATTTATATAGGTTGTCGATCAACTCATTGACCAGACGGGAGTTTGAAAGTCCAGAGGGGTGAACTCAGGGATCCAGGGAGGATTGATTCTCTAGGGATGAGGTTGGGGCAACCGCTAAACAGAACATTCAGGGCAAAACTGTTTCCCACATCCCTAAATGCAAAGCTTCCACTTCCCCAAGGAAAACATGTGGAGGCTGGAATTGTGAATGACTGTTGGTTAAAAAAAAAAGACAACCCAAAGCGAAGTTTGGATTGGGATTATACGGCAGAAATGTTTTCTTCTCTCACAATCTTCCATTCCAGAATAGACATGAAGGAGTGTTGGAGTAAAAGGTCGAGGGATACATTTGAAGCACATGGATCTCTATCCCATCACACACCATGCTTTTATCTTTTCTTGCCCAAGGTGAGCCAAGATTATACAGACCAGGAGGGAAGTTATTCTAGAGTATTCTAGGCTCCCAGTATGACTTTGGATATAGGTTCTGTAAGTGTAGGATCTCTCTGAATACAACTCCATTCCCTGTGCAGAGGAAGACAAACCACAGTGGGCCACGCACCCTTCTGAACCAGTCAAGTCAGGGGAGCCTAAGTTGTGGGGTGTGGGGTTCAAGTTTATGGGGCCCTCTGGAATAGGAAGCAACAGCAATGGCTAATTTTTTTTTCTAGTGCTCAGCCTTTGTTATTTCTTGATACAAATAGCAAAGACAATTCTTAAATACAAAGAAAGTCACAACTTGTTTCTCTAAACCTAAAGCTCATTCATCCCTTCTCTACAAAATTCCTCTACCCTACCTCTACAAAAGTTCTCTTTACTAAGATGTGAAGCCCATTATTTTATTCTAAAAGCATCAATGAGACAATGTCCAAATATTGAGGACAGTTTTGAGAGTAGAAGTTTTGATCCACTTCAGGCCCCTGGGATTGTGTTTCATTTATAGACACTCGTTGCAAAACAAGAGGGGCTTCCTGGAAAAGGATCTGGCAAATAGAGCAGAACCCCTTTTTTGGAGAGATGCTGTCAGGAGAGAAAGGAAGACAAACAGCTTTGCACGATACAGTACCTTATATAGATGCTGTTTCTGGGAAGCCTTGGCTATTTCATCTGTAGAGCTAGGAGGTGAAGTTCTTCTTGATTTAGTAGTTTCGAATCCTATTATCACTCGTTTCCTCTCTAAATTAAAAGTGCATATCTTATCTCACTATAAAAATAAAGCAGTACGTGGCTTAATTTTTGGAATATTTCACAATTTGTTCATATTTCTTGGGATATTTTTTAATTTAGGGAAACAAACAAAATTTATAAGTGGGAGCTAAACTGGAGCGTGTTTCCTAGTAGAATCAAATAAATCACAAAGAGGTGTAGTAAGAGATACTTAATTCCCAGCCCAAAGCTAGGAGAAACACCAAACACCTCTTAGACCCTACTGACTGAAGTCTGGTATGACCTGTTTATGAATAGACAAGTTACTTTATTCTTTGAATTTTGTTGTATGTAGTATGGGAAGACAAAGGAAGAAAACAAGTGAGAGAGACAAACATCACAATACATGGACGCACTTAATGGACTCAGTCCATTATAATATTCAGTCTCGACAGGAAACATAAAATAATTAAAGCAAATTGGACAATAAGGAGAAAGTATAGATTTAAGTGCTGACTGGTACAATTGGAGAAAGTATTATTTACTACTGGCCAGTATGAATCATTCATGGAGTGTGAGCTTGCTCAGCTTCTGAGAATAGCCTAGACTAGTCTTCCTAGGAGAAAATGGAGAAGTTATTCCCAAGGAGAGGAATGGCCTGAGCAAAGGCAGAGTAAAGTGGAGGAACTCCCTAAGACATAAGCAAGGGATGGACTGTAAGCAGACCTGGCTGAATAGAGGAAATATGTTCAGCACAGTTGAGAGGAAAGGTAAACTTTGGGCTAAGGTGTAGCATTCTGGGAATGCCAGGACAAACAGCCTAGATTTACATTCAGGAAGGAAATCCTCATAAACTCTGGGGAGAATGAAAGAAAATCCACATAAAGAGACATAAAGATCTTTCTAGTGGTAACAAGCAAGATGAAATTTAGGAGGGCACAGGAGATGATCATGATAGTTGTAAGGAAAGGAACATGGGAAAACTTGGGTCCTAAAACTATGATAAAGCAGTAAACTGTACTTTGAATTTTCTTTTTAAGAAACTAACTAGTTTCTTTTTAGAATCAGACTTGGCTGTGTGCTGACCTTCTCCTGGCTCTGTGCTCACAAATCACTCTTGTGCTCTGGGACCATATTCTGTGCCAGCACATGTAACATAGGTCTTCTGTAAGCAAGGCAATGCCTTAACCTCTGTACTATCTCTCTGGTCCCAAGTAGGAATTTTTTAAAACTTTCATGGCATATTAAGCAATCTTTTAAAATCTTACCATTTTCTTAGAGAAAAATTAACAACTAAAGAACAAAATCATTACTCTCTCTCTCTCTTTCTCTCTCTCTCTTTGCTTTTTGGGTTACACCCGGCGATGCTCAGGGGTTACTCCTGGTTCTACACTCAGGAATTACTCCTGGCGGTGCTCAGAGGACCATATGCGATGCTAGGAATCAAATTCGGGTTGGCCTCGTGCAAGGCAAATGCCTTACCCACTGTGCTATCACTACAGCCCCTACTTTCTTATTTTGTAAGAACGTTTTTACAGTGTGAGGGGAATGAAAACGGTCTTTTGTTACAGAGAAGTATCAGAACGCAGAATCTACCAAATTTTACTGCCATAGGATGTCATCTTAAAAAAGAAATTTAGAATATTTTCAATGCTTTGAGAGCAGAGTAGTCAACTTGTTCTTCATCTGCACCATTAGCACTTTTTTCTTGTGTTTTTGCTCTGCATTAACTTTCTCATCCATTACTCTTCATTAGTATGGTTACCAGAAAGTAGATAGGAAGATAATATGCAGTGTAGCATTTCAGAATTGCCATCGATATTAAACATTCGCTGACTTTCTCACTTTACATTTAAGGAAACGGAAGTTCTAAAGGTTATGTGACTTGCTTCAGGTCATCTGTAGAAATAGGCAAACCTGAAACTTAATTCAGTGCCTTAGATTCTCAGTGCAGTACTATTTCCAATTCATTACTCTGCCTCAGGTATTTTTCAACTAGCCAGGAGTTATAAAGGTTTTCATATAGTGAAAGAATATAGCTTTATCTACTAAGAGTTGTGGGAATGATCTACAGATGCTAAAAGACTCAGGGTCAATCTTATTATTAGGAAAAAAAGGTTTGATTTTACTCAGCCCAAAGTCTTAACCTGGTAATAATTTTAGAAGGTGTAAGGGAAGGAGAATGATTTGGTAAAGGGATTCCAGGCCACTCTCAGGGAGTTGTGATTTTGGAATCAAGATCATGCACCATTTACCCCAAGGATGGAGGAAATTCTCAGGAAGTCATCAACTATTCTTGAATCTCTAGATTCCACATAGATTGTTATCAATTTAAGAAAGTTGATGCTATATTATACTGACATTCAACTCTGATTGCAGAGACTATCATGGAAAACTTTAACACCTGTTAAAGCAGACTTGGTTCTTAATAATGTCTTCCTCCCTCCCTCCCTCCCTCCCTCCCTCCCTCCTTTCCTTCCTTCCTTCCTTCCTTCCTTCCTTCCTTCCTTCCTTCCTGTGTTTTTGGGGCCACATCCAGTGGTGCTCAGGGGTTACTCCTGGCTCTGCACTCTGGGATCAATACATATCAGGACAATATGAAGTTCTGGTATTGAACCCTTGTCTGCCACATGCAAGGTCAGTGCCCTACCTGCTATACTATCTCTTTGGCCTGATACATTTTATCGGGAAGACTTCAACATCAGTTGTGTTTGAGTCCTACTATCCTACCTCCACTTTTTTTCTCTCCTTCCTGCCCTCCCTTTCAATGCACCTATTCTTCTATTTTTCCTTTCCTTCTTCCCAATTATAGCTCCTTTAATTGGTGTTCCCTCAGACATTAATAGGATAATATTGTAGCACTGTAGCACTGTCCTCCCACTGTTCACCTATTTGCTCGTGTGGGCACCAGTAGC